CAAACAGGGAGGAGCTGTTTACAACTGGTTAATGAAAAATGGAGGCTCTAGAGGGGATCGAATGTCTGAACAGGTTGTGCTGTAAAAGTTTCACACAAAAATTCAAGAGTAGCTACTTTTAAGAATTCATTCTATTCTGGTTAATTTCCGAAAATTTAAAGTATCTCTTCCGTTTGTTTTTAAAATATTGCTCATCCCACATGATCGTACACGCACCAAGTTAACGGTTAGAATATAGGTTGATGGCTCGTGTGAATTAACTTGCAAGGATTTCATCTTCTGCCACTGAACCATGTCAGCATCGTAGCTTTACTCCATCTGAGAAATAAAATCTCATTAAAATGTTTTCCATCCATCGAATGCAAATATGGCGGACCACTCGGTCAGCGCCAGGGACGAGTCGCATGAAAGGGAGGCTAATCAGACTTTGATGTTTTGTTTTGACAATTGGTTCCCCAGAAAAGACATGCTTTGTCGTGGATTTGCTCCGTTTTGTTTCGCCTCCCTACCAGTGTTTGTGTTCCTGAATGCCACCAGAGGGAAGTGAAATCTTCCACAGCAGAGAAAGTTTTTTTTTTTCAGTTTCCCCGTTCGCGTCTGAGAGGAAAACAGACGGAGAAAAGGAGTTCGCGATCGCCGAAGGAATTGTTCAAGTTTGATAGTCACGTTTCAGGTTAGAAGATCTTAGATGTGTAAGCGATCGCATTTAGCTCCAAGTCGTTGTCATTTGGCTCAATGCATTTACTGGTTTCAACGACGGGGGCAGTTGGAGTTCCCTCGCTTGGTTATTACACCGTAGTATTTGTTTCGTCCGATTCCGTGCGAGTGGACGCGGACACAGCAGCTTCTTGTTTTGAGACGGAGGATGTCTTTTTTTTTATCTTGGGGCGTGCAAATTGCGTTGGAGCACCACCAGACACCACATAAGCTCGTCGTTTAAAGGATTTTTCTAAGATCTTCTAGCCTGAAATGTAGCGAACAAACTTTAGTTCCCACGGTGATCGTGAACTCCTTTCCTTCGTCTCAACGAATTGCATTGATCCACTATTTCCCCTTAGAGGCGAACGCTGGAAGATTTTTGTCCCTTTTCGTGGCATTCATAAACACAGCAACCTGTATGCACAGCGAAATAAAACAGACCACATCGACGACGAAGCAAGAATTTTCTGGGGAAACATTGTCAAAACAAAAAATCAAAGCCTGACCAGCCTCGCTTTCATGCAGCTCTTTCCGGGCGTCGACCGAGTGGTCTGCCATATTTGCATTTGGTGTATAGGTCTGCCAAGACAAAACAAGCCCTGATGAATTTTTTTTTTTTTGTTCAAAACAGTGGAAGAGGAGTCGAATAAACAGCCTGATAGTGGCTTTTGTTAAATATATTCACTACTGCGAAATTGATAACGGCACGTAGAAAATCAAGATAACTTTGCTTGAGGGATATTGACAAGATATATTGTCAGAAAATTAATGCAACTTGAATGGAACATATTTGGTATCTTATATCTACTTTTGCAATTGATATAAGGCGTTCCACGGTAAGAAATAGGGACGAACGTGTAGAAGGATCGTTATAAACATCTCCTAGAAAGATCAGGAGAATAACATGCATTTATTTAATTTTAAGTAAAATTGCCATACTTGAGCCCCCTGGCGTCTCGGCATAATATATTGTTTGTTCAAATTTGAGAACTGTTTACGCAATTAAGACTAACTTCAGTTTCAAAATCAACCCTAAGCTACCTTAAATACTTTTTTTAACCGTCTGGATGATCTATATGAGGTCATATGAGAATAACATTCCACGTGTGGAATTTAACCCTTGGACTTGGATAGAACCCCCCCCCCCCCNACTTGGATAGAACCCCCCCCCTCCCTCTAAGTTTCCTTTCTGTTAAGACAGAGAAAAATAAATTTACATTGATAGCCCTGTGCTTGCTCTACAAGATGATTCCATTTTTGTTGGTCACGACGTCATATGACGTCAAATGACGTTATTTGACCCGCCATCTTGGATTTTACTATTTTCTTAAAAAGTCAAGAAATAACGGAAATTTACTCAAACGCAAGCCAAAATGCTTAGGAAATGTACAAATTCATGAATTTCTGCATTTTGATGAAGAAAACTGGAAGAAACCTGCAGAGTTATCTCGAAAAAGTTGATTATTGGCCAGACCTACCTGAAATTTGATGGTTGCCATGGGAACGTCAAAAATGATGGACGAGCAATTGACATATCAAAATTTACGCAGAGAACGAAGGAACAGTAACTGAAAGTTTTAGCCCCTTAGAGTATATCGTCTTTTCAAAACTTTGATAAAACCTTATTGGGGGGGTNGGTAAGGCACCCACCCCCTTGTATGTCCGAGGGTCGACAAAGTTTAAGACAATGACGCTGTTATTTGTGTCTCTTTGCTTGATTTAACTTTCTGTCGTAAAGCTTCCATCCAGAAGAGTTTTGTCCAGGGTAATGAGATTTCGCTTTCAAATGTTTTCATCAAGACTCATTTAAAGATATTAATACGAGCATGCAGTGTATGCACTCCTGGTCTTGTAAATATTAAGACACAAACATCAGGCCTCGATCACGATCAACTGCACTCGAAATCAAGTCTGAGTTAAGATCAATTGCAATATAAGATAAATTCACGTCTTGCCGTTGAACGACTCTGTCATCGCGACCGTTTCTGCATCGTTTCAGCAAATAGACCCTTGAGTGGTGCATGCTATCCTGGCTTTTCTTGACACTTAAATTTAAAATGGTACTGTTCCTCGTACCTCCGTGGGTATCTAATTAAGATTAAGAATATTCGTAGCCGAAATTGCACTCTATGATCATTTATTTGAATATTTTTCATTACATCAGTGTCGGTTAGAGCTTACTAAAATCGGCTTTTAAATCAAAAATCGTCGTTTTCTTTCAACTTGTTTTGAAGTATCAGGACATCGTCCATGGCTTTTAAGGCTGTGGGGGTGGTACTTCTTCCACGTAGATCCGGGACACCGATCTCCAACCAGTGTGCGCATCAGCAGCTCCGTAACCAAGACAGTTACCGACCCAGAATCCCACGCTCACGATACCTCTTCGGATTTTCATACATACGCCCTCGATGTGTCTTACCCGGAGCAAATTCTTTTTGCCGTTATTTCCATTTACCATATAAACCACACCATCAATCGCAGCTGGAAAAGAGCATTCTTTCTTGTCAAAGGTGAAATACCATCGCTTGCAGCAGCCATGGCAGTTGTAGATGCGAAGAACACCATTCCAGAAGACGCGCAGACCAGTTTCGTCTGATGTTTTGTTGAAGACACATTCCTAAAGAAATTTGAAACCATAAAACCGAACTATTTCCAAGCGGAAACGATCGAAACTGACTGTCTAAATATAGAGTGAGCGATTTGACTTAAAACATGATTGAAGTAAATGGCAACATCAGCAAAAAGGAGGAACTGCCCAATCAAATGCATGCTTTAATAGAAATCCACATTTTTAATATCGTAAATTGTTGGTTGTTTATCTCTCCTGTATATTTTATTGCCCATGATTAACATGTGGCCGAAATAGACTTCTTCGTAGTGGGCCAGAGAACTATTTACCTTGATCAAGCCAACATCTTTTCCGTCACTCATACCGCTAAAAACGCATTGTTTCCAGTTTCGTCCAAATGTTCCCGGAGGGCCTGGAGGGCCTTGGATTCCTTGGTTGCCTGTGTCCCCTTTGTCGCCTTTCGGCCCCTTTGATCCGGGGGATCCCGGAGGTCCCGCTGAGTCATTATATCCTTGGGGGCCTGGGGGGCCTTGGATTCCAGGATTTCCTTGGTCGCCTTTGTCTCCCTTCGGACCCATGCATCCTTGTGGGCCCGGCAATCCCGGAATACCCGCGGAACCAGACATACCCGGCATTCCTGGCACTCCTGGTGGGCAATAGCAGCAGTTTTGGCTGCAATGTCCATATGGTGGCGTCGATTGGGTGCACTACGTGAAGAGATCAAGAATACCTCATCAGGATTTTGAATTATAGAAAGGAGAAGAAGAAGAAGTGATCTTAAAAAATAGCTAAGATATGAAGGACAACATTCTAACAGATCAAATCTGAACCGCTGAGGTATAATAGTGCGTACTCTGTCCAGAAGAGTATTATATTTAACCTGGCAGTTTATTTTAGAAACAAGGTGGTGTTCCAAAAAGTAAGTCTGAAATGTATTCTACTTATACCTAAACATGTTCATTTCAGTCGAGACTGAACTATATTGATCCCAAGGTTCGCAGAATCGTAGTTTAGAACATTGATAGCATTTCGTCTTATCGCATTCGTCCTTAGACAGTGTTCTCGTTTAAATTGGTTGTTATATAAGAAACGCAGCATACAAGAGTCAGCTTTTGTGAAAATGAACTCACGTTGGTCGAAGCCCAGCACAAGGTGACCAGCGGCAAAATCAGCAAACCCATCAAGATGTTGGGCAAAATATTAATACGAGGTGCGGCCATCTTTCGATATTCTATCAGAATAAATATAGAAATAATAGAAATGATATAAAAAAAGATCATAATAAACGGTTCCTGTGAAAAACCACTTGATAAATACCTTCATGTCAACAGTATAATGAACTTTGATCAACACTACATTGCTGAAAAGCAACAGCTTTGCAATGCTTCTTTCTCCTACATATCTCAAAAAAGAAACGCTGATGACAAAAGATTCTGGCCTGCCTTGGTAAATAATATAAAACTTTGCTAGTATTTGTTTGCAATTTTGGAATAGAGGTGGAAATTTAAAATTTATCCAGGAGCTTGCGTAATATTGGTGGTTTGTGCTTGTCTACTAGGTTCATCAGTAGAAGATGTTGAAAGGACGTCTTATTTTTACGTTTTTAAAGAAGGAATTTTGCAAAAAGAAACACAATTAGGTATTGAACTTTAAGATTGTCGCTTGTAATTGTAAACTTAGTGAAGCCCAGCTGCTTTCGAGGTGGGGAAATAATGGCTTTTTCCGTTTTTTGTTTTAAACTGAAGATTTTATACGTGGATCGCTGAGGTATATCTAGATGACTTACCTTCACCGAACTCAGCGTTTGTGTCGATACAGTAAATAGAGGAAGCTACAGTGCCGGAAAGAAGATAAGATACGTTAGATTTAGCGTGAAAAAACTTCAGCGAGCGGTTTACAGAACTTACTTGTTGCTGTTCAAAGATGAATGAGCTGCTTGTTGAACAGCGCTTCAATAGAACTGTTTCATGGTCTACATCTATTAATTGGTTTATCACGTCTTGTTTACTGACTCACTTAAGTTTATTTAGAGAAGAATTAGGTCTAAGTATGAGTTTGATTAAATAAATAAAACTACGTAGACGCAATATTCTACAGGTTCTATTATCACGTTTTTAAATCCCTTAGATTAAGTTTCTTTGAATCAGATTCGTTAACATTTGACTTAACTTCTAGTTTCTAAACTAGAAGTGAAATTAATACTAAACATTAACACACGCCACAGTAATTGAAGACGAGATATGTTAAAAAATAAATTAAACTGCCAGAAGCACTTTTGACAACTTTGAGAACACAGCGCTTGTTTATATAATTATACTTACAAATTATATTTTCAAAATTGCTTTTTGGGATGAGATTGAAAACCTCATGGCTTGTACATACGTTGTCTATTTTGCCAAATTAAATGAAAACTTGACTGTGCTTTATCATTATTTTTTTTGCCATTAAATCATTTTTTTTGTCGTGAGAATCTCAATTTTCAAGTACAGTATTTTCAGCATTTAGCATTTAGCGCGATTTTAACGTGAACCATTATCCGTCTATGTCAGTTAGATATCAACTTTTAATTACCCTGACTTTGGTCAGAAGTGATTTGTTAAGTCGTATGTAGTTGGCAAAAGCCAGTTTTCAACTCCACGAACGAGAAGTTGGAGATTGGGATGAGCTGCAAGTTGTCACGACGAATTTGTTTATAATTTGAAATTGCACATGATCACGTCCGCGCTAGCTATAACTAAATAATGAAAAAATAATAATTAAAACCAAACTTACTCGGAACGTGGCCTTGGGTTAATGGTTTGTAAATGTTTTGTTTTTCAAGATTTCATCGATATTATATTCCTAGAATGGTTTATTTAGTAGTGAATTTAATCAGTGGGATGAAGTTGTTTGTGTTGTCGCATGCACCTTAAATTTCTTGTTTTCGTGAGTGTTCTGCACAAATAGGCTTTGTGTATTAACTCACCAATGGTTATAACTTGAGAAAAAGAGACTGCCATAGTTTTTTGTTTGGTATAAATTTGAGCAGCTGTATGTAAACTTGGATACGTAAGCGGCGTCAAACGTGTTTAACCATATACTTGCAGCTAATTGCATTCATTAATGTGTCTTGAAAACAGAGATTTGTTTATTGACATTTTTCTAATTTGTTTGTTTTCATTGATATGCCTTGTTATTCATTTGCTTGGTCTTTTCGTACTAGCTGCTCTATATAATCGTGATATTTGCGTTATAGTTAATTTGCGTTTTGCGTTTGTCTGATCACCGCAAGTAGATTAAAGGGTCTTGTGTCGTCTGATTGTTTATAAATCATTGAATATATGCACACATCTCTTGCAAATAGAATTTTTCAAACTCCTCAAGTTTAAGCAGAGGAAGCAATGAGCGTGACGGTATTTGGATATCTGATCTTAACTGGCATAGATTTTTATGATTTCATTTCTCCGTCTCAGTTTTCTCCTTAGTTTAGTTTCCATTGAGAAGATACATCAAACACTCAAGACATTGTTTAACCACATCTCCACGCACCTCGAAGCACGTAAAAACTACTCCGCTACGCGTCGTGTTTTCAGCTATCTTCTCGGTGTTTCGTGAAATGTGGTCAAACACGGTCTCTCATGTTTGATATATTACTTTGTCAAACATGATTCGAAAACAGTGCCGAGCTTTCAAACACAGAAAATCTAGTGTATTTGAGAAAAAGAAATAATTTCCTCGTTTTCCTCACTCTAGTTCTGTGTTTCTATCGAGTTTTCAGGGTACACGGGTTTCACTTGTTCGGCGACTCATGATATTCCTACAGTTTCTTTGAATATTGAAACCTTTGTTCTTGCTTTTTGCTAACGCTTTTCTCTGATAAACTTGGGAGAAACAAACTGTAAGGAATACCAGCTCAAGCCTGGATAACTGGGAAAAAAGAAAGAAAAGAAAGGAAAGCAATGCAACTGTATGAATGATACCGTCTAAATTCTCAACTCACATTGCGTGGGGACCAGTATATCCTACATTGTCTTTGGAAAGGAAAGAAAGAAAACTCAGGTGGAAGGAGAGGCTTATATATCACCTTAATGGAAGACGAACCCCATAAATGGGAGTTTTGGTTGCCTCTATGACTGTGGTTGCAGTGCTTTGTAAAGGGGCGAGTAATTTGCTTTTGTTGAAAAATATATATATATTTTTTTACCCCGCGTACTTTTTGCTTGCGCCACTCTTACCAATGAGTATCTCCAAGCATTTACAATCCATTTGGTAGGGGCTGCATAAAATATACATTTAGGTAGAATGAAGTTCATAAAAGAAAACCGTTGGATGATGTTCCAGGACTTTAATTATCTTTCAAATCATGCCCAGATATGTCTAATTACCAGGGCATCGACGGTTTAGTCTTCATATTGAAGTTATTGTAGTGAAAAGTCCAGCGAATTACGTATAACATGTTTACTGCTGAGCTTTTGGAACCTCTTCAACGAAGATACGGGACAGCGTCGCCCAGCCTGTGTATGCGTCAGCAAGCTTATGGCCAGCGTTGCAACTTCCAACCCAGAATCCCACTCGCACCTTTCCCTTATGGATGTTGTTACAGTAACCTTCAATATGGCGGTGACGATGAAGATCATGGTTCTTGCCGGTTTGCATATAGACCGCACCTTCAATGGAGCCAGGAAAGCTGCACTCGGTGCCATTGAAGGTGAAATACCAACGACTACAGCAGCGGTCGCATGCATAAATCCTGAGGTTACCAGCAAAATATACATGGAGGGCAGTGTCTGTGAAGTTCTTCATAAATTCGCAGTTCTATGAAGGCAATTTTTATAACTTAATATGGTAACTAACTACAACAAACACACGTTGGGCATAGCCATATCTTATATGGAACAAAAATTAGAGACGTAAGTGATCAACATGTCAAAGAAAAAACGAATGAGCGAATAAATAAATCAGGGAATGAATGTACGAATATGTATACAGATAATCGTATAAATGCGAGTGCTACTTAAGATTTACACTAGGAGTATTATCTGAGTAGGAAAATCACGAAAGCACTCGCGTTAATTTGCACTGCAGTGCAAATTGAAAATGAACGATAAATCGACCTTATCTCAGCCAATCACAATGAAGTAAAGCCATCTTATAATTATAGTGGCTTACAACTTGCTTTTTTTTCGTACTTTCGACTAAATTTTGTTGCTAACTACGATGTTATGAATATCACCACTCAATCATCAAAACACGACTTGGCTTGCATTTCTTGCTCAGTAAAATCATGATCAGTGTAACATACGCTACATATCCTCCTTTGTTAAACATTGATAGTTCGGTGTTATAGTTAAATCATATTTTATCAGACATTAACGCCACTCGTCTAAAGTTTTAAACTAAAATCTAACCATGACGCAACTATTAAGACGTCAATTTATTATATGACAGGGAAAAGTCATGGACAACTTGTTAACGTAGCAATTACGAATTAGAAGATGCTTCGAATATCATACGTGCTATAGAGACACCAACTATTACCGTGTTTTTTTTTTTTTTTTTTTTAAGTACATGTTATCCTCCTACCCTGATCAGTCCTTGGTCTTTGCCATCTCCATGTTTCCAGGTGCATTCTTTCCAGTTCATGTGCGAGGAAAGCTGAGGTGATCCTGGAGTTACACTCTCACCTTTCTCCCCTCGCTGTCCTTTTTGACCGGTGGGGCCCTGAACTCCAGGATCTCCCTTATCTCCTTTCTTTCCTTCGACACCAGCTGGTCCCTTAGGTCCAGTCCTCCCTGGAAGACCCCGGTCTCCTCTGGCTCCGCCGCGCCCTTCTCGTCCATCACGTCCTGGGGATCCCTGTATGCCGTGCATACCGGGAATACCGTTTGTTCCCGGTTGTCCACGGCAACACAGTTGAATGGTCTGCAACAGATGTTGAAAGACAGGTTATTCGTCTTCATAAGCCTGCATCAACCATACCAATTGTGGTATGATCTTGACACAACGAAAGCGTTTATCGAAAAAAATCTAACTACAAAAATCAATAGGGGAATAGTTACAATGAATAATCAAGAACAGAGACAACAGAAAAAGAAACTTGGGCTATTGCATGTAAAAGATGTTATGGTTTAAAACAAAAAATAACGTTCAACTTGAGGTAGAGGAGTCTTTTTAGAAACCTCAAAAGCATTCGTTTGAAAAAACAAATTCGTTTTGTAGAAAACGTTAGATTTTGAAATTTTGTTTAGCCTTTCTCTTTTTAATAAAGGGCCGGGACAGCTTACAGCTTACTTGTTTTTAACTAAATGAGCTCACCTTGTTTCTGCAGGTGTCTTCTGCTGCAGAGCTCAGGGCAATCAAGGGTAAAATCAGCAAACTCAACATGACGATTGGTGAAATGCTCATGCGCTTTTTAATCTTTGGTATCTTCCGAGATCTGTGGATGGTGAAACTAATGTTAAGCAACAAGGAGCCACAATAACAATCGTCATTTACTCAGCCAAGCTAAACGTGGAACGCTTTCAAAACGTGGCATTAATTTAATTTAATGATATAGTTTTATTTTAAAAAAAAATCGTTTTTTTTTACTGTTATGGTAGTATTATAAGAGAGCCAGTAAAGATCCATTTCAAATGGATGTTCAATTTTTTTCCGCGGTTTGTTTTAAGCCTTAAATTCTGGCCGAAATACATTTTTTCGTGATTCATACGTAGATCAATTTTATTTTATGGGATGGTGACTTATATACTGTTAAATTTACAGATTGACTTGAGAATTGGTGAAAGAGAAAAGTTTTGAATCTCATTTTGCGCTTTTGTTCGTGCCAGATACTAAGAACAGCTGCAGGAATAGTTTTTGGGATTTCATGGAAGAAATTATAAAAGTCCTGAATTATCAAATTCAAGGTGAATTCGGCATTGAAAGTTATAAATATATTTATATATTGATAGCATTTCTGTTCGTCGTAACTCGACCAAACGTCGGGTTACGACGAACACCAGAGCTGGCTAGTCGCAATGGACTAAACTATTGAATGGTCAAAAATAATGTAACGTGTCTTTGGTGAAATGGATGAACGCACGCCAATTGCCGTCTGTTGTCTTCACGCCCAAGAAAAGCATAATCAGAGTTTGATATTCTGTTCCAATGTTAATTATTGACAACCACTCTGGTCCCTTTTATTTTCCTTTCGCCAGAAAAAGCGAAATTACTTACCTTTAACGAATACGGCAACTGAGTCAGTAGTGGTCTGCTAAGAGAAACAAAAAAACTTAACGGTGGAGCAAACAAAACAGACTTTTAGCCTTAAAATTAGAGCTAAGGATGGACAAAAATTCCACACAATCCTCCGTAGGAAAAAGGATGGCGACTGGTACATTTACCCGAAGCTCTTAGCGCAAGAAAACTTTAAAAACGCTCGTAAAAACGTGTAGAAAAGTTATCAGATCTTTAAACGTAGGCTACACAATGTCCTCAGCACAGGAACAAATATTGTAAAAATTTGGCTTTTTTCGTGCCATATAGGCTGTGTTAGGTCGGCAGGGTATTGTGGTAAAATGTACAGCCGCCATCTTTTTTCCTACGGTGTATTGGAAGCGCTGATATCATTAACGTACTCACTTGTCGATGTTTAAATCAAAAGTGAATAAATGGTAAAAATTGATTCTGTTATAAGCATCTCGTGAGAATTATTTTGAAACAGCAGACATCGAACTTTAATTTTCAATTTTTAATTTTATACAGCACTGTCATTCGCTAGAACGTTATGTTCAGCTGTCTATTTGTCCAATGGGGTGAAAGCTTCTATCCTGTCTATTATTCTTGTATGGTTAACTAGTTGTTGGATAGTAATTTCACAAGAACCAAAAGACTTTAAACGTCAGGTCAAACTGATAATGGCATTATTACCTTTTTTCTCATTTTTTTATAAGGGATATACAATTCTGGAGTGTTTTAACCTCCTATTTTTGTAAAAAGGAGTTTGACAAAAAATGACATCTTTTCTAATTAGTGCTAAATATTAATTAAAAGGTAAATAAATGCCACGAGGAGGCTTGATCATTGAAGCTAAGGCTTTATTAACCAGTAGACCCCATCCTTAATGGAAACTCAAGCATATTGTATTGACCGGAGCAAATAAACTGTCAACAAGTCTTAACTTTGAGAACATTGCATCTGTCTGCATAACCTTGGTAACGTTAATAATAGCTTTCAAAGTTGAGTGAAAAAAAAAGGCTATGCTTATAAACGACACTTAACGAACCTTTTTATTCTTGTCGTGAGTGTTATACAGTCATACAGCCATATCACCGCAATGATTCCGTCTTTCAAAGAGGAACCAAACAGATTCAATGGTTGATAAGATATATATGAGTAAACAAAAGAACATTCTCCTTAATGGAAACTCAAACATATTGTCTTGACCTGAGTAAATTACCCCTCAAAAAATCTTTAGGAACATGACGCTTGCTTATATAACGTGTTTAATATTGATATTAGCTTTCAACGAGGACTTAACCAAACAGGCTGTGTTTATAAAACAGGCTCTGCGAGAACATTTATTCTTATCGCGCGTGAGTCAACTGAGGCATATAACAGTGATTCTGTGTTTCGAAAACAACTAAACAACTGGACTGTTTAGATCCAACGGATATAGACATTTTTTGAGTAAGCGAAAAAGAGCCTTGCATGTTCTTAATGGAAACTCAAACATATTGTATTGACTTGAGCTCATAAACTGTCAGCATTTCTTGTTTAAAACCTTTAAGAACATGACGCCTGTGTATATAACCTGTTCAACCTTAATGGCTCTTAATGATGAGTTAAAAAAGACTGTGTTAATAAGACGAGACTTTACGAAACCTTTTATTCCTGAAGTGAGTCATAAATGGGGTATAATAAAGTGTATTATTATATGGCTTTGGCTTGTGGCCGATATAACGCGCGCTCTGATTGGTTAATTGTCACTGAATTGTAGGGCATTATTCTCCCGTAATGCCC